AACGGCGCAGGAGCCATATCGCTGCACTGATACCATGATGAATGAAATTTTATGCAAGAGAGTTTCTATTGAAGAGTATGTTCAGTACAGAAGATGAATGAATCACCCTTCCGATGCATAAGCTAGCCAGCTACTTATATATGACAGAAGATATGATAACAAAAATGATGCAGAATCAATTATAACTGCCCATGTATACAAAAGACTTTAATACCCTCATTCTACACAACTAGTGGCCTCTATTACACATCTCTGAATGAAATATTGGGAATAAGCAATTGCCACAAAAGATATCCAAAACTATACACATCGACGAAATACTTCCAGGATCTTGCTAATATAATTCGATTATGGACTGTGGAGACTAAAGCCTTTTAATAGAAATAGTACAGGTTTTAATTAATCTCTAATTTTGCGGAAAATAATATAAATAAAAATGAAAAACTAAAAAATATTATTACTTCTTGGGCAGTCCACATCCCCAATATCTAGATATCTGTTTGGAGAATAAACTCTCCAATCTTAACCGTCTTTTGCTCATTAGTTAAGAAAATATTGCCTGAAACAGTAGACCAAAACACAGAACATACATCATATCAAGAAATAAGAGTAGTGTTTAATGAATTTAAAGAAAATACCACATTCTAGGCTTCAAGCATCGATGGACAATGCCATGCTCATGGAGATACTGTAACGTATGTCTGATCTGAAGTGCAAAGTTAATGGCTTTCTCAGTATCCAGATTTGTTCAATGTTCAAGTAACGTTGAAATTGTACCATTTCCCATGTACTCTGTTACAATACAAAATTCTGGTTCCAGAAGAACCCCAATAAACTGCAAATAATATAGTAGCATATGTTGAATCATTTCAAGAAGTTAATATATTATCATTCTAAATAAATAAATAAATAAATAAATAAGTAAATATATATATATATATATATATATATATATATATATATATATATATATATATATATAATTGCACTCTAGTGCGAATATGCGAAATGCATGATATCCGTCCACGTGTCCAGATCTAATGGATGAGAAACAATAATTTTTTAAAAAAATGCCGTGACATTTTCGTTAATTATTGAACATCGAAGTGCAAGTAAAATTTATTACAAGTGCATGAAAAATGTATTATAGCTGCAAGTAAAATTTACACTGAGCTTCATTACTAAGTGCACCTATAGTAATAAGTAGTTGGACCTATAGTCATAAGTCGTTGTACCTAGGTGCACGAATGTTTGCAGGTGGTTTTCGTGGGTACTACTACCCGCTGAACTTCCCGCAAGAACAAAAACGAAGCCAATCAGAACAAACTCAGATCAATTAATGTTAACAGACAAAATTACATGCACTTGCCAACGAAAGTAGGTGAACTTTTAGGTGAAATTAAGTGCACACGATCAATGAATGTATGCAAAAACTATATGCACTTGCAAGCGAAAATAAGTGCACTTGTAGGTTAAAGTAGGTGCACCCGATCAATGAATGCTTAAGACCTTCGTTGATGACACTTTCAAGATTAAAGATCATGGTATCAGAGCTGTCGACGTCAAGCAAGATACTGAGGATGTTTTCTAGGCAGAGGTGCGATTCTACCATCGATCAAGCTCTACTTATTCTTCACCTCCAATTCTATCCTCATGGAGATGCACCAGTTATTGCAATTAGAGCTCCATATCAATGGCGGACTGACTAGTACTGCTGATGGATTATCTTTGATGCTCAGGAAAAGAGGATTATCTGAGTTGAAATTTCTTTGCGACTATTTGCCTTGATTCCTCTGCGGAATCATTTCTGGAACGACTAGAGCTGGTGATTCGGTGATCAGATTTGCTGCGTTTGACGGCGGAGGAGCATCGCGGGAAAGTGCAAAAGCATAGGAGCCATATCGCTGCTCTGATACCATGATGAATGAGATTATGCGTGGCAATGCAAGAGAGTTTCATTGAAGATTAAGTTCAGTACAGAAGATGAATGAATCATCCTTCCTATGCATAAGCTAGTCTGCTGCTTATATATGACAGCAGATATGATAACAAAAGGGAAGGAGAATCGATTATAACTGCCATTGTATACAAAAGACTTTAATACCCTTATTCTACACAAATGGTGCCCTCTATTACATATCTCTGAATGAAATATTGGGAATGAGCAATTGCCACAGAATATAACCAAAACTATACACATCGACTGAATACTTCCCAGGTCTTGCTGATATAATTCTATTATGGACTCTGGGGACTAACGCCTTTTAACATAAATAGTACAGGTCTTAATTAATCTCTAAGTTTGCGGATAATAATATAAATAAAAATGAAAAACTAAAAAATATTATTACTTCTGGGACAGTCCAAATCCCAATATCTAGATACTCTGTTTGGAAAATAAACTCTCCAAGCTTAACCGTCTTTTGCTCATTAGTTAAGAAAATATTGCGTGAAATAGTAGACCAAAACACAGCACATACATCATATCAAGAAATAAGAGTAGTGTTTAATGAGTTTAAAGAAAATACCACTTTCTAGGCTTCAAGCATCGATGGACAATGCCATGCTAATGGAGATACTGTAACGTATGTCTGATCTGAAGTGCAAAGTTAATGGCTTTCTCAGTATCTAGATTTGTTCAATGTTCAAGTAACGTTGCAATTATACCATCTCCCATGTACTCTGTTACAATACCATATTCTAGTTCCAGAAGAACCCCAATAAACTGCAAATAATACAGTAGCATATGTTGAATCATTTCAAGAAGTTAATATATTATCATTCTAAATATATAAATAAATAAATAAATAAATAAATATATATATATATATATATATATATATATATATATATATATATATATGGAAGGGCTCCCATGCATTTACTCCTTCCCGTGAATAATGAGGTTAAATCTGAGCCCCACGTAGCTCTTGATCGAACGAATCTGATTAATACCAAAAATTAAGCGCGAATTGCTCATCAAGGGCATTTTTGTCCTTTTGATTATATTAAAAAAAATAAAAAATCTGTTCTTCTTCTTCTTCGAGCGTTTTCAAAATTCACCATTGATTCCTAATCTTCTATATTTCCTAATCTCAGACGAATTTACGATCTCTACGGATTTGGCAATAAGATCTATTCTCTTCGTCGTTCAATATCATATTCGTCAAAATAAACCCTAAACCCATCAAAAACGTCAACCGAAGAACAATGGAATAATTCGATCGAGGTATTTCCCAAATTCTGTCGCTTTTCTGGAATTAATTTTATCTGCATTTGTATTGGCATCATTCTTGTCTTAATTACACGCACATTAAGCATGCAACTTAACCACCGAATTACTAAGCTACTTTAATTAATCCGAGCCTAGAACCTTACGCACGTAGATGATTAGGTAGCCGCATGATAATTTTTAAAAATGCACATATTACTGTTTGCCTCACACATGTTATACGTTGATCACACGCACATTAATTCCTCTCCAAACGCATGTTATGTTACTGGACACTCTGACGCACGTTAAGTAATGACATTATATTTTAACAAACACTCACGCATGTTAACTGTTACACATGCGCACATTAACTATTACCCTGAAGCACGTTAATTTCTCACTTGCCGCACATACTCTAGTATTTTATAAATCTTCCATATTGACAATGATCTGATTAACTTAACGCATATTAAGTGTTCACATTACGCACGTAGAGGCTTGCAACAACACGATCATAACTTCATGCTTATATGTTACAGTTCCAATTGACATTCAATCTACCAACAACCCCAGTTTGAGTCCCAGCAGCAGCAACAATGGTCATACATTGACCATATCTCCTGGAATGACACAGTATTAGACTCCTCACTGTGAAGATGAAATCAAACCAGCAGTAGACATGATTTTTAAAACATTGGATGCTGGTATTGAATTCTACAAACATTATGCTGCCAAAGTCGGGTTTGACACGAGGTCTAGTTCCGTCGTTACAGCACGTGACGGGACAAAAATTCAAAAGCAAATCGTTTGCAATAGAGAAGGATTTAAGAATATAGGAGCTCAACATTGTCCCTCGCACTCAAGTGCAGATGCAGGAGAAGGTCCTTCCCGTCCAAAGAGGCGAACGGTTTCAAACAAAACTGGTTGCAGAGCTAGGATTATGTTTAAGTACATTGGAGCAGCTGGGTACCAAATTACCACTTTTATTGAACAACATGTCTTCGGTTCTGGCAAGGCAGTTTCTAAAAGGAAATAGAAACATCTACAGTGTTCACCAGAAGTTTATACTCGACTACGCTAAAGCAAATATTGGAGCATCAAAATCACACGGTTTATACAGTAATATTGTGTGGGATTACTCTGAAGTTGGAGCAACTGTAGTGGACTTTAAAAATGTCAGAAAGGATCTCAGAGCATACATATTGGAAGCTGATGCACAAATACTAGTGCATAATCTTATTAAGAAACAAGAGATGTGCCCTGCATTTGCTTTTGACTACGAGGTTGATGAAGATGAGCAGATGAGCAGACTGTTTTGGGCAGATCCAATGTCAAAAAAGAATTTCCTGCATTTGGAGATGTTGTCTCTTTTGATGCCACGTACTCAACAAACAGGTATATACTATTCTATTCACATTCTTGCATATGTTTCATTAATTAATACACATTTAGCATTGCCTGATCTGTTGAGACATGTTAAGATTTAGACACGCTCACTGTTTTATTGAAACAGAATTGAAATACAAATGTGGAATTTCCAGAATTAGACCTCAATTACATACGTGTGCTATTTTATTACTTACTGTGCGTTACTATAATTCTCTAAGTGCGGCAGTTTGACACCTGCATACTGTGATGACGCTTTCTGTCTTGTAGGTACGATCTGGTTTTTACTCCCTTCACCGGAGTTGATAACCATAAAAAATGTATAACATTCGGTGCTGGACTACTGTTGAAAGAAGACATTGAGTCTTATGTTTGGCTCTTTGAAAAATTTAAAAAGGTAATGGGTATGGAACCAAGAATAATTGTGACCGGTCAAGATCCAGCTATGAAAGTGGCAATTCCAACAGTTTTCAAGCAAGCCAGGCATCGTTATTGCATGTGGCACATCGTGTGTAAAGTTGGGGAAAAGGTGGGTCCTACACTGAACAAGGATGAGGAATTCAGGAACAAACTGAACTCAATCGTTTGGACGTCATCTTTGGAACCTCCTGATTTTGAGAAGCAGTGGAGAGAGCTCATGGAAAAGTACAACTTAGTCGAACACAACTGGTTTAAAACTATGTTTGAGGCAAGAAAGCATTGGATCCCAGCGTATTTTAGAGATGTCTTTATGGGAGGACTACTCAGGACAACTTCTCATTCCGAAAGTGAGAACTACATGTACAGCTGTTTTACTGGTCCCCAATCAAGCCTAGTTGAATTCATTATGAACTTTGACACTACTCTTAAATCACAACGTAACACAAATGCAAAGCTCAACAGTGACAACGAAGGGTACAATCCAGATATGAAGATGCCTCTGGGGATTGAAAAGCACGCTTCAATCGTCTACACCGTTACTGTTTTCTATCAAGTTCAGGAAGAAATATGTGCCTCCTGTTTCAAATGTATGGTGTTGAGTGTTAGAAAAGACGGTGGAATGTTGCACTATGATATTATGGATGGAAAGAACAAAAGATTTACTGTGGTGCACAATGTAAATGACCATGAGGCCAAATGCAGTTGCAAGATGTTTGAGATGGTTGGACTTTTGTGTAGACACGTATTTGTGGTCTTTAGAGACCTTGAAAGGATCCCTCTGAAGTACGTGGTTAATCGGTGGACTAAGGATGCATCTTTTAAAGCTACATTTGAAATAGATGGCGTCATTTATGATCAGAACGGACCAAAGGATGAAAAGAAGATGTTGCTGAACAAAGTGTGGTCTGATATGGCAGGTTCAAACATGGAGCAATTGACTGCATTTTCCCAAGTGATTAATGAACAGAAACAACTGCTACTGTCAGGAAAGGAGAAATTGTCCCCTCAGCAAAGCAGGAGAACTGTTATAGAATCATATTGTGGATCAACAGAAATTTCAAAGATCAACATACTTCCACCGAAACAGGCAAGGAACAAGGGCAGCGGCAAGTGCATCAAAAGCATCAAGGAGTTGGCAATGGAAAAACAAGAGGGCAGGAAGTGCAATTTTGTGGTGTTAGAGGAGATCACCATGACACCAGGACTTGCCCACTTAACCCCAAAAATAAGGACAAGCAAAAGGGTAAGAAAAAGGCATAGCAGACTATTTTTTCAACGCCTTTACAGTCGAGAATGAAAATGGATAGCAAATATGAAACACAACTACTTAGTTAACTCATTTCATAACGCTTTTTACAGTTGAGATACTTGTTTTTGTTTTTATCACTGATTTGTTTTTACACAATCACTGCTACTAGCTTAATGTGCGTGTTATTACTACTTTACCTGCGTGCAGTTAATTCTTAATATGCGTTGATTACACTTTTAACGTGCGTTACATTAAACCTTAATGTGCGTAGTACAGAAACAGAATGTGCATTGATTTATGTATAAAAACTTTGGTCCGTGGTAAACGTCTTTAATATGCGTACAAAGACAACATTTAACACTTTCTTTCTCTAATATGCGTTTAATTATTAGTTAATATACGATGCGTTAAAGATAATTCTAATATGCGCGACTAGAAAACTTAAAGTGCGTTTATTTAATTATGAAATAATTTGCAGACAAAATGATACAAGAACAACATCCGTGTAAATATAAATATAATTAATTTGCATCGAAATAAATAATTTTTTAAAGCCAAAAGTTTAAAGTGCGTCGTGAAACCAATTAAAGTGCGCGAAATACCAATCTAATATGCGATTATTATATATTATTAATAAATCCAAAAGTTTAATGTGCCTCGGGAAACCAATTAAGGTGCGCGAAATATAATTATAAGCTGAGTTTATTATATTTTATTAATAAATACAAAAGTTTAATGTGCGTCGCGAAACCAATTAAAGTGCGCGGAATATCATTCTAAGATGCGTTTATTATATTTTATTAAAAAAAAAAAAACAAGTAGAATATGCGTTAATGATAACATAATAGACATAAAAGGATAATATATAAATTTTATTAATTAATAAATTGTATGACAAAAATAACAACAAGTAGTCACATAATACGCATAAAAATCTTGATATTTTCGTCAATATTCATCCTTATCACGCAGCCTCCTCATTGATTACATCCTCATTAGCCAAGTTTCCAACAAGAGCGTCAGGCACCTGTTCATCCATCAAATCGTGAAAGTTACTAAACTGTAAATACATCAATAAAATTATATAATAAAAAAAAGAGGGAAAAACAATGTAAGTATGCAGTAGATCACCTCTTGATCGAAATCATAATCTTCTCGATCATAAGCATATGTTGGGAACTCAACGTCGTCTTTCAGTAATACTGCACCAGTTCTCTCACAGAACATCAACATATACCAGAGACTAGAGGTCTTGTTTCTGTAGGTACTATAGGCCACCTCAAATCTAATGAGTAGATAAGTTTTTCCTTCCACAAATCTGTTGACGCGCCTTTGCGCAAACGGTTGTGGAATGTGCATATGAATAAACGTCCCCTGAAATTATTTAAAAACAAAAAAAAAAAACAAAAAACATATGCATCAACAGTATATTTTATAAATATAAAATATTACTCCGTAAGATTTATATTACACTAAACAAAAATAATACCTCTACATCGTGAAGTACACACTCTATAGATCGGATTCTATTAGAACCTTTAGTTTCTGGCAAACGAACAACTCGTAGCACTCGAACCCTAATTAAATTCCAGCGCAGTCCTATGCGGAGTTGGTTTCCAACTATTTCGGTGTGGGGTTCGGCTGCCATTGAAACTCTCTTTACAAGGTAGAGTAAAAAAGCAAAAATGTGTTTGAAGGAGACAGGTTTGGGTCGAGAATAATGGTGGATTTAAATAGCAAACTCTTAAACGAATGCGACTGTTCGTATGTGACAACTTTAAGTCTAGCAGAACGCGATTGTTGATATGAAAATGTTCGATCGGGTATAATTGAGCGAAAATGCGTCAATTTATTCACTAATATGCGCACCTTAAACACGTTATTATGCGTATGATTGCTACTTTACCTGCGTAAAGTTAATTCTTAATATGCGTTTATTACACTTTTAAAATGCGCTACATTAAGCCTTAATATGCGTAATACAGAAACAGAATGTGCGTTGGTTTATGTATATAAACTTTGGTCTGTGGTAAATGCCAACGTCTTTAAATGCGTCGATTAACATTTAACTTTCGCGACTTTAAAGGTTAATATGCGTATAAATGCAACATTTACACTTTCTTTGCCTAATCTGCGTTTAATTATTAGTTAATATAATGTGCGTTAAAGATAAGTATAATATGCGCGACTGAAAAACTTAAAGTCCGTTCGTTGAATTATGAAATAATTTGCAGACAAAATGATACATACATAAACGATTACACATATTTATTTCTTCTAGTACTTTGAAGACATTTCTTCTGGTTCCGGCATCATCCGACACATCACCAGCCACCCACAATTGCTCAACTCTCAGCCTTTGGATGTTGTTTGGAAACTAGACGATGAGCTTGAAGAAGAGAATGACGAATGATGCTTCAGGTTTAGAATGTGTTGTTTTTGTATTTAGTTAAAGTCACTGCAAGCTGGAGGGCGATGAAGATGAAAATGCCAGAGAAGATGAAGAATAAATGAAGAGGATTCTTCTTTACTTGCGGAAAAGTGAGAGATAGCCATTTCAATAACCTGATGCTCAGTTGTGTGTTGTTCCTTGTAATAATTTATATATAGGTGAATAACTTGGTCACATGCACTGATTTGAGATTTCAATGTTTCAAGATTTGCTTTAATGGGTGCGTTTTTTAAGGCGTTGAATAACCATTCAATGTTATCCGTTTCCCCCACCAACTACAAATGCCTTAAAGTTCTGACATCAAATATCTTTGAATGTTACGTGGATTGGTATAAAAGACTTAATATGCGTTGCTTTGATCTATTACATGCGCGACCTGCAAGAACAACATGCGTGTAAATATAAATTTAATCAATTTGCATCGAAAATAAATGATTTTTTAGAGCCAAAAGTTTAATGTGCGTCGGGAAACCAATTAATGTGCGGGAAATATCAGTCTAATATGCATGTATTATATTTTATTAAACAAAAAACAAGTACAGAGTAAAATATAATAAAAACTTCAAGTCTTTAGGGGGATCGATCCTGGGCAGAATCATTTTAATCAAAAACTTCTACCATTTCACCAGTGGACTCATCCGTTACTTTGATTATAATATATTATTAATAACAACAACAGAGGCAGACATGAGAGCTTGTTTTTAATATGCGTAAGGCGTAGACATAATGTGCGTTGGTTTTTTTATAAAATATTTGGTCCGTCGTAAACACCAAAGTCTTTAGATGCGTTGATTACCGGCCAAAAATATTTTAAGTCTTTGGGGGGGGATTGGATCCTGGACGGATTCGATATATTCAAAGACTTCTACCATTTCGCCAATCGACTCATCCATTTATTCCTTGTATACCAAAATATATGTTGCCTACTTACTAATAACGAATCTAAAAGGAAGCAGTATGCCTCTATTTAATTCTTAATATGCGTTGGTTTACACTTTAAAGGTGCACTACACTACGGCTTATATATGCGTAACACGTAAACGTAATTTGCGTTGGTCTATGTATAAAAACGTAATTATTCAGACATTGCGTTGAAAATTAGTCCAGAATGCGCGATTGCAAAATTTAAAGTGCGTTTGTTTGTTTGACAAATACATGCTTTGAATTTAACATGCGCGACATATCAATTTAAAATGCGTGACATTGGAACACAATGAGCGTTGGTTTCTATAATAATAAAAATAATAATTTACAGTCTATTACATTAGTATTTGTAAACGTAAATACACATTGAAACAACACCAATAACATTCAGTGCATCTTTTCTAGTGCTTTGAAGGCATTTCTTCTAGTTCTGGCATCATCCTACATGCTGCCAGCCTCCCACAAGCTTTGACAACCTCGATTTGGACATGAGCAAGGAGTGTGAATGCATGTAGGCTCGTGGTCTCTAAGCTTGCTGTGTGTGATAGATTCCTGGCAGCCGTAGGTGTTATTTGGGATGTCGGATGTCCTCAACTCTCTCAGCCTTGAATGATGTTTGGTTGCAGCATGAGGAGCTTGCAGCTGAGGATGACGAGTGTTCTCTCAGGTTTAGAATGTGTTGTCTTTGTATTTCTTTACAATCACTACAATCTGGAGGGCGGAGGGGGTGAAGAGGGCATGCAAGATGAGGAATAAAAGGAGATGGTTCTTCTGAACGTGCGGAGACGTGAGAGGTGGCCATTTCAATGAAAACTGATGCTCGGTTGTGTGTTGTTCTTTCCGATTTATAGGCGAATAACTTGGTCCAATGAACTGGTTTGAAGATTTCAATGTTGCGTTAATGGGGCAGATACAATATGCGTTCAAATATACGTTTAATTAACTTTTATCGAAAAACGATATTTTTTGAACACAAAAGTTTAGAGTGCGTGGGGAAACCAATTTAAGAGCGCGAAATATCACTTTAACATGCATTTATTGTATTTTGTTAAACGAAAAACAAATAAAATATAATAAAAAAATCAAGCCATTTTAATGGGCACGTTTTTTAAGGCATTGAATAACCCTTCAATGTTATCCGTCTCCCCAACTACCAATGCAAAGTTCTGACATCAAATATATTCGAATATTAAGTGGATTGTTATAAAACACTTAATGTGCTTTGCTTTGCTATGTTACATGCGCGGAGGACAAGAACAATATGCATTCAAATTTACGTTAATTAACTTTTATCGAAAAACGATATTTTTTGAACACAAAAGTTTATAGTGCGTGGGGAAACCAATTTAAGAGCGCGAAATATCACTTTAACATGCGTTTATTGTATTTTGTTAAACCAAAAACAAATAAAATATAATAAAAAAATCAAACCTTTAGGGGGTTCGATCCTGGGCGAAATCAGTTTAATCAAAGACTTCTACCGTTTCGCCAGTGGGCTCATCCATTAAATTAATTATATTAAACAATTCTTAAAGAGCCAATTCTTGAAAATTAAAAACAAAGAAAAAAGCTTGACATGAACAATACGTACGCTCAATATGCGTAATACTGCAACAAAATTTGCATTTCGTTATCTACTTAAACTATAGTCCGTGGCAAATAAAAAATAAAA